TTGAACAATGCATCCCCTATAAAGATGCTATAACAAATTATGTTAGTGCAAAATTAGGGCAATGATTTATAGATGAAACTGATTGGCAAGTTGCCGAACTCTTGTATAACTTTTTAGGTAGATTTCACGAAGTTACCTTAAAGCTTAGTGAAACTTATTGCCCAAGTCACCATTAGCGATAGGAGAACTTTTAAGAATGTCTATTTTATTTAGTGAATTTAGGACACACGAGGTTTTAGGAGTTCCTATCGCCTCTATGGAAAAGAAGTTTAAAAAATATTAGTCTAAATTACCCATGTTGTATGGTTTCGGTGTTATTTTTGACCCTACATTAAAATTAGAAGGTTTAGAAAGCGGATTAGATAACTTAGGTGAATTTTTAGCTATCGACACTACTGACCAATTTTCTATTATAAAGGAAAAAATATTTTCTCTCTATATTTCTTACGAAAGTAGGTTTAGAAACACACCTCGTGTTGAACAACTGCAACAACGAGATGACAATCCGCATTCATTCTTGAATGTTTTCGGGTTGTCTAAGAAGAAGAAGAAGACGACGACGATGACTCAAGGTCAAGAAGAATTTGGGAGTGGATCTTTATCAAGAGGTGGCGGCGGCTTCAACGAGTTAATGACGTACCTGAGTGAGGGCTTAGTTATAGACAGTAGTGAAATATTTGATTTGGTTGAGTGGTGGAGGGCACGAGCATTAACTTGGCCGATCCTAACACGACTGGCAATGGATTTTTTTTCGATCCCGGTCTCCACTGTTGCAACCGAACAAGCATTCAGTACAACCGGCTGAATACTTGAAGAATGGAGAAACGCATTGCAGCAGGATATTGTTGAAGCTTTGGTGTGTATAAAGGATTGGGACCGTTCCAACCAACGCTTACACGATACAATCTCACTGGCAAACCAAGAATGGATTGACAAATTTAATAGATTAACTTTTAATTTTTAAGACAATCTTTCTGCTTCAAATTAAATTTTATTATTCTAATTTGTAAATATTTATTTACTTTGTAATTTCTAATTTGTATAGTGTTATTGTAATCTTATATAGACTTTGTAAGTTTGCCAAATTTGTAATTTGTCCCACAATGATTGCACTCTTTTTTCCTTACCAAGTTTTTATCCCAATTGAGTTTTTTTTGGTAAGGTTTTTAACGAGGCAATCATGAATTACAAATTTAAAAATCAATGAAGAAATAATTTTTTTATATAGTTCGTGTGTTCATTTCAAATTTCAAATTGTAATATACACATTATAATTATACAAATACAATATAAAAATATAATATAAAAAAAATTTAAAAATTCGGGCAGCCGGTCGGGCATCGGGCAACCCGACCGGGCACGGGCAGGCACCTCTTACCTGAAGCTCGTCCATGGCAATTTTCAGGTCGGGTCGGGCAGCTCGGATTTGGTACTCGGGTAAAAATTTAGACTTTTTGGTGGTCACGGGCGGCCCGTCTAAAGTTTCAGCACTAGACTTACTTTTACTTAGCCACTACAAAGTTTCACTTTATAAAAAAGCGAGTACATGGATGATGATCTTACATCATCTTACAAGACGCCTCACTCCTGTTTTAGGCCTCGTTCGCTTTGTGGATTCCAGTTTTCAATTCGAGCTGAGATGTGATATTTTCTGAGAACTTTTAACTGCAGCAGAAAAAGTTAGATGTAACATTTTCTGAGAATTTTTAACTGTAAAAATCTAAAACTGAAAACTCAAATCGGTGAAATGAACGAGGTCTTAATCTCTCTAGGAAATGTCTATCTTAGAATTTAGAAGCCCCTTGTAGCATAAAAAATTAGGACAGGCTAATACAAGGGTTTGTGTACAGTATATAGTTAGATTCAATGCAACTCAACGTGTTAAGATATCAACTTGGTATGATTATAAGCAATTAAAAATACGGAAAATTGGTAAACTTCGGGCCTGTTTGTTTGCGTTTTCATTTTCATTTTTCACAGTTTTCAAAGCAAAAAAATGAAAACGGGTGTTAAAAACGTGTTTGGTGCAATTTTTTTTAAAAAACAAAACCAAAAACGTTTTTGTCTTTTTGTGGAAATCAGAAAACGAAAAAAAGGTGTTTTCATTTTCTCGTTTTCGTTTTCTGTTTTCTAAAAAACGGATTTCACTTTTTTTTTTTTTTCATTTTCTTCCCTCTTTTCTGAAACCGTTTTTGTATTATATATGTTTATTTAATATATTTATTTAATATATTATTATTTAATATATTTAATAATATTATTTATATAATATATTTAATAATATTATTTATTTAATATATTTAATATATTATTTATTTAATATATTTAATA